CAGCTGAAGTGCTGTCACCACATGCTCTTGTAAATAGTCCCTCTCCAGCTTTCTTGTAGATCCCCTTCAGCTACAGAAGGGTCACAGTAAAGTCACCCCAGAGCCTTCTCTTCATCAGGCTGAGCAACCCCAACTCTCTCAGCCTGGTCTCATAGGAGAAGTGCTCCAGCTCTGTGATCCATTCTCTGCTCTCCCTCTAACGGGTCAATGTGTCCCTCCTATGCTGAGATCCCCAGAGCTGGATGCAGTACTCCAGGGGTCTCACAAGGACAGAGTAAAGAGGCAGAATGCCCTCCATTGCCCTACTGGCCACACTGCTTTGGTTGCTGCTGAGGATGCATTTGACATTCTGGGCCACAGGTGCACATTGCTGGGTCATGTCCAGTCTCATCCGTCAGAATCCCCAAGTCCTTCTTGGCAGGGCTGCTCTCAGTCCATTCACCCTCCAGCCTGTTTTCATATCAGGGTTTTCCTTGACCCAGGTGCAGCACTTTGCACTTGGTCTTGTTAAACTTACAGTTAATACTGTTAATTATAAAATACACTTGATGTCTTTGCTGCTTTATCTATGAAAAGAAAAATCACCTGCCCGTTGCAGATCAGTTGTAACCTTCTAATCAGGTTCCAAGTCATTGTAGCTGTGACTATGAAAATTGCTTTTATTCAAGAGTGTTATCTGTATACAGCATAAGGCTTTACATAGTATTGCCAAATCTGATTTCTTTTCTCTGCTATTGTGCATCTCTGCTGAGAAATAATAAAACGGATTACACTTTTTTAAAAATAGTACAGTTTCACACTTGGGATCCTAAAGATAGCAAAATGTTTTTCTGTTACTGCTGTAGAGCTGTGCCTGCAAACTGTCACATTGTCAGTGGAGTGTACTACTGGTCCTGATGGGAAGTTAGTATTTTTTTAGAGTTTGAAAGTAGAGGGTGGGAGGATTAGGTTCTGTGAAGCATAAGGAGCGACTTCACGCACTCGCAAGTACAACTGCCAAAATAGTTTTTTTTAACTTAAGTGAAGCAACCTGGAGGGAACATTTGGCAAACTTGTACTGTGGCCAGCAGCCCTCTGCCACCATCCTTCACCATTTGCTTCATGTTTCAATTTTAAGAGATGAAAAGAATATTTTAGTGAAGAGCAATTTCTTCCCATGGGTGATGGAGTCATAGGAGGCTCCTCAAGTTCATGGTAGTTCACTGACGCCTCTTTTTAAATACCTCAGCAATTCCCTTTTGTGTAATGTAAATACAGATTCACATTAATCTTCCAGTCCTGGGTTGCTTCTGCCATGAGCAGGTAACAAATGAAGAGTGGAACTGGAGTGAATTGATTCTTTTTTGACATAGGCTCACAAATTGGTTGAATGGCAGTTTTTTGGGGTGTATTTTGTACTTGTTATTTTGAATCCAGAGTGACAGTTTTGTAAGTTGCTCTGTGCTTTCTTGCTGTATTTCTCCCCTTCCTGTCCAAAGTATGGTCTCTCGGTTTCTTCCTTTCTGGAGACATGGGTTCAAGGGGACTTGCCTGCAAGTTCCTTTAAAAACAACCATCTTCCTCCCTTCCCTTTCCTTTAGCTGGTTGTAATACCTCGGATAAATAAGGTCAAACAATCCACATGTACCTGTTCATTTTTTCACTTCTCTTCTGTCATTTCCAGATACCCCTGTAATTCTTGATTATCCTGAGCCTGTTTCAACCAAGCGTAGCAAAGAATATAGATTGCAAAGACAGTGCTGTTCTTGAAAGCTTATTGAGGCTGAAATCGCTGAAATAGCCAAATAGATAGCTGCTGTTAGATAAATATAAAGCTTCTCACATACAGATCTGTCTGAAAACTCTTAACCTGTGCAGTAGGAGACACAATGATGAGCAAAGGAGAAGAAAACTTTTTGTAACAGTCACGTAAATGGGAGCTGGAATTGCAGAGGAATGCTGGGATAGTGCAGCACATGACTTGAATGTGCTATAGGCTGTCATGATCCTGGTATATGTATCTGTTACTTGTTAGGGTGCCAAAGACCTGAGGAAAATGATAGCCCTTCGTGTTTAGAGTATTTCCGGAGATCCTGCAGAATGGGAAGGTAGATTTCTGCTCTGGAAAAAATTATTGTCCTTTCCATAGGAACTTTATGAGCAGTGACCAAAAAAACACTTACTTGAAAACCTTGGGAAAACTATGCCAGGGGACAAGAAAGATGTCAAATTGAAAATAAAGCTGAAATTCTTCAGTGGAGTTCTCCAGAGTCAGGGGACATGACTTGGACTTAGCCTTTACTGGTTTCTAATTTTTTCTGCATTTGTGTACAGCATATGAAAAATGCATTTTGTGTCTGGAATTGGAACTTGGAAAACTAAGTTCTGTTTGGGAGAAAGACTTGTGTCTAGTAAGCGACTGACTGACTTGTGAATCACCTTGGTGGTTGAAATGCTCTTTTATATTCCTAGAGTCTCTAATAGAAGTGTGAGTTTGAATTGGGATTGGTTTATATGTTATGTCTGTTGCAAATATTGGGAATTGAATTTGAGTTTTGTTTGTTATTTTTTCCTTCTCTTCAGTAAAAAACAAAACAAAACTAGTGGACTATAGAAAAGGGAAACTTAGAGATAATTTGAAGGTGTTTAGTTCCTTGTTTGTTTTTGGTCTGTGGTTACTAGTATGTGTTTTTTTATGAACAGTTATTCTAAACCAGAATTTTCTTGTGCTCTGGCAGCTGTCTCCCAAGGAGAAGATAGAAAGATGTCTGGGCATAAAATGTTTAACTAAATATTGTATAACTATCTAAGTAATACTTATCTTAGATAATTGTCCTGAACAGTTTCTCCCTCTTTTTTGGTGGGGTATCTATATGTTTTATACAGAAAAAAGAGCTCTTGATTTTGTTCCTGGTCATTCCAGCATGATTTTCTTCCAGGTGTGGCCAAACATTAAATATTACTTATGGCTGATAGTACTTATCTGAAATCTGTCGGGAAGAATAGGCTACAAGAGTAAGAGAATGGTCCATGCTAAAAATGTTAAAAGTAAATAATTTTGGAGCCTTAATTAGTCAAGATTTTCAAAAAGGACCAAGAGCATCATTGAGTATGATTTGCCAGAAAGTTGATAGCCTCTGAATTCAGACCCCAAGTGACGAGAGTAAACCTGCTTGGAGAAATGGAATCCAGTAAAAGTTAACAGAGGCAAAAGTACAGTTGCTTCCCTCTTTTCTTATTTCTTCTCCTTCTTGAAACTCTTGGAACTTCTTCCTTTTGTCCCCTCTGGAACTGTTCTGGCTCAAAATACATCTCTAAAATAAGTTGTCCAGAAGCACTTGGAGTGTGTTCACTGTGGGGTTTCAGAAGGATGTTAGCTCTTATAGAAAGGAAAACAGCAACAAAAGCACAACATATGAAACATTGAGCACCTCTTCACATGTGTGTGCTATTATCACTCTCTTCCAGCAGCATCTTGGCTGGCTTGTTAGTGCATTAGTATGGACTGTTTGCTTTGGTGACACTGAATCTGTTGCTGAGCTTGTTTTGCTGCCTTTGTTTAAAGATTTTTGGGGGTATGATGTTGCCTCACACCTCGAGTTTATTAAATTATTTAGCTGAGATCTGTCTGTCGCAGAATTCTAACACAGGAGCTGCTCTTTGAAGTTGTGTGAAGAATTGCAGGGGCTTCAAATGTCTCTGCTAATGGTTTTCTATAGCCAGAGGTGTGAAGCACAGTGGCTACTTCAGGGTAATTTATCATTTTTTCTGCAAAGTAATGGCTCACTTTCTTTTCCCCAAGTGGACCTCAGATAGTCTTCAGAAAAAGTGGTACTTGAATATGTGAAATTTAGTGATATATCTTATTTTACTTCATCATAATTACTTCATAATTCTAATTGAAAACTACTAATAAAATGAAGAAAAACACGTAAGAGAGGAACTGCAAGAACTTGATTTTGGAGGACACTAAAGCAAGTGAGAATTACATAGTTGTGGTTTAAAACAATTTATATGCATTCTGTTGAGTGATGGAAGAAAGCCTTGCTACAGCTGTACTTAGTAGCTAATCCTGGAAGAGAGGATTCCTTCCAAATTAATGTTGTTTATCCCTATTAGATAGGTTTTTTTAGTCTGTACACTGATAGTACCTGACTTTGTCCTGGCTTTGTAAAACTGTGCAGGTTGGTGTATTGATGTGCCTTAGGGCCACATTAATAAACTTGCCTCTTGCTGTGGTACTTGTGAGTTGTAAGCATGCCTTAGATTTGGTGTAGGAGTAGGAAACATTTGCTTAAAAGGCCAGCAAGCTCTGGATCTGGCTTCTTTCCTGATGTTCTCCCATCAGTGGTGTTACCTTATTGCACCATACACACCTTCCTGCAGAGACTGCCTTTGCTTTAGAGTGGACTGTCCAAAGTCTTCAGTGTCCTGTGGTGTGGTCTATCAAGTCATGAGATAATTTGAAAAAGCAAAAATGTAACCGTTTGTCTTGTAAAATTGCTTTTTCTGCTGGGAGTTGTTTTGTTCTAGGCTGGTGATATGATACTGCAGTACTTAACTGGTGCTTGCCTTGAGCATCGTGGTGGAACTGTCTGCATTACTATGGCTGAGGGCAGTGTTCTCTTGCTACAAAAAGTGGCTGTGCAGTAAAGTAAAAAATGTGTAGCACTTGAGATCATAATGAGATTCTGTAATCACATGTTAAACACATTTTGATGCTATTGTTAGTATTTAATGTTTTATAAATAGCTGTGCTGTGCAACATGAGATACAGTGGTTGTTTTATATAAATCATGTTAAATAAAGGCAGTGTTATTTGTGTTTGCAGCCTGAAAAATATTTTTATGGTGGTCTCTAGTGTTTCTTAGTCTCACAAAGACAGTAATTTGCTTGTAAGGCACCTAACATCAGTGCCAACAGCACTGCATAGAACACCCTTAACTGTACTGCTGCAACAGGATCTCTAACCATTGTAAATCGCTTCCCTCACCTCTGCCCACTTGTGTCTCTCCTCACAGCAAAAGCCAAATCCAAATGTGGTGCCACGTTCTTCCCCTGTGCCAGTGGGATCCACTGCATCATTGGCCGCTTCCGGTGCAACGGCTTCGAGGACTGTCCCGACGGCAGCGATGAGGAGAACTGCAGTAAGTGGGAGCCTGCTTGCAAGTGAGGGCACTCCTGCTTATTTCAACTAATTGATGCTACTTAGAAAGGAAACATTCAGTAGCCTTCCATTTCTGAGTCAAATATTCTCCTGCAACCCAGATGATCCTTGGTTTTTCACTTCATGAAAATTAGTCTGCTGTTTGTTTTTTTTTTTTTTAAGGTCCACCTCAGTCTTGCTTTGTATATAATGGCTGTGTGTTACTACAAGCCCCTGAAATTAGTTTTAAGCTGCATGTTTGCTTTGAACACATTCTCTGTACTCAGATGTAATTCAGATTGGACAAATATTAAATGTAATTTGAATTGTTCCATTTTTACTTGCCTGTTTCATGTCACTGAAGAATATGATGTATTTGGCCATCAGTGCATCTGAGTTTCTCTGTTTATACATGTTCTCAAACAACAAAAAGCAAATAATGGTATATTTAGTGAAACAGGTTCTTGGAAGGAGAGCCAGATTCTTGAAGCCAGACATGCCTGCCAATGCACAGCAGCAGGGAGGTTGTAGCAGAGAGATGATCTGAAGTACTGCTTGTTTTGGGCTAAACCCCCTGCATGTGGCTACACAGATCCATTTATATCTGTAAGTCTAGCAGGGATATAGTGTAGCAGTAGGGAAGCGTTATGTTGAATCCAGCAGCTCTGTTGTTACTATCAAGAGCTGGTAAAAGCATGGGTCTCTAGGTGAAAGCTTGCAGCAAAATACTTGCTCATTCTCCTGTCAGAGGCATGCTGAGGTTTTGTTTTCAATGACTTTTGAAGGTCAGGAGGAGGACAACAGACAGCAGTTTTCAAAGATAACAAAAGGGGCAATCTTTAGCGTGATCTGTCACTGTCTGCTTGGTGGAGGACTTGCATTTCTTGTTGGTGGTTGGTGTGCTTCCACAGCGTGAACCTCTCAAGGTGGCATCTGTTGTTGTCCTGGAGAGTCTGGTTTGGACCCTGCAAGGACTGTGTGGCTGTGGCAAGGAGTCAGCATTTCTGAGGAGAAAGTGAAGCCAAAGAAGCATTGAAGGCTAAGGAAATTACTCTGGGTTATGCTTGAACACATGGACTAAAAATAAGACTTGACAAAAGTGCTTTGAATATCCTTAAGGTGGTGGACTGACAAGTGGCTGGTCTCAACTGAAAGTGCACCAGCTTATGGAGTTCATTAGGAATGGCACAATTTCCTGTGAGCTTGTAGTATGTAGCTCTAATGGGACCTTACAGCTGATGATAACATGCTACTGATCTCCCCATTATTCTATGCCAGTAAGGCACTTGGTGTTTTTAGCATGTCTAAATGTCTAGTTACTGCTTATGTAGAGGGACAATCATTTAGCTTCTGAGGTGACCTCAAAAATCAGTGTGCTATGCAAGTGTGCAGGAGTTTCAAACCAAAGGAGTTTTAGCATGTTTATGCTAAACAAACTCTTGGGGAGCTGGAGAAATTGGTAGTTTTTGTTATTTTTCCTGCAGGTTATATGCAGTTATAAGACTTTAAAGTTTTATTTATTTCTTTATTTAAAAAAAAAAAAATTAAATGTAGCTTTTACTTTAAAGACAAAAAAATGGAAGCCAGTTAGTATTTGGAAACAAATCCCCTTCATTATTGTTGCAGAGAAGCAGTTTGATAGGGCATCTAAGCAGCCTTTTAAAAATTTTCAGTTGGAAAGTTGCATTCTGTTTCAGTCACCCCATTACCAAAACCTGTTTGAAGTTCAGAGAAGAGTGCCAAGAGGTATTAAAGGACAGAGATTGATTCATGAGTAGATATTAAAACCAGCTAAATTATGCATATCTCAGCTAAGTGATGACTGTTTTGAAGGATATGGTTATTTATGACGTGTATGAAGGGTGTAAACATTGTTCCTGGAAAAGGAGTTGAAATTCAAACAGTGAGAGGCTGAGAGATTTTAACATTGCTGTTATATCAATTCAAAATAGTGAGGAGAATGGGGAAGAGAATCAGAGGTAAATAAACCACTGCCTAGCAGTTCTCAGTCAAAATTGTTGTCTTATAATATGAAACTTCAGCTAAACTGAGCCTTCTGTAATAGGAATCAACAGGCAGTGTTTATGGTAGGCAGTTCTACCCTCCATATGTCTTCAGTGTGAGCAAATGTGGAACAGTGATCATGATTGGGCCCTCATGAAAATGAACAGAAGGCTTATCACAACTGTGGGTGGGCTAAATCTCTGCTAATTGTAATGACTCTTGCATAAATTAGAAGTTTCAGCTCTCCCTGGTTAGAGAGCCAGGGCTGCTTTGATTGCCAGGTTACTCCCACACACTCAGCGAATTGACCAGCTGTTGAGTTGTGACCTGTGGTTGATGCTTATCAGCTATTTAACTGTCTGAGCAAGAGAATTCCTAATGGAAGGTCTCACTTTCTCTTTTTGCAGCAGCAAATCCCTTGCTTTGCTCTACTGCCCGATTCCACTGTAAAAATGGTCTTTGCATTGATAAAAGCTTTGTGTGCGACAGTCAAAATAACTGCCAAGACAACAGCGATGAAGAAAGCTGTGAAAGCCCTCAAGGTAGGCACAGGGGTTTTATTCTCTTCTGCAACATTATACCAACTCAACACAGAACAGGCTCAGCTGAAAATACTATTCTCTTGGCTGGCTCTGTGTTGGCTAGCACTGCAGATCGTGAGAATGAAATGTGTAGAGAGTGTGCACATGCATACATTGCATTCTCAGTGCTCAGAAGAGTGGTATTTTTTCAGGTTAGTAAAAAACACTTTTGCAGGAAGTGCTTGTAATCTGTGATCCAGTGCTCACTGAAGTTGCTGGGAATCCATTTAGTACTTCTGGGAGATGGATTGGACCCGGGGGGCTTGATAGTAAAACTTGAGTTGGAAGTGAATCTATCTGTTTACCGGATGAGTAAATCTTGTGTATGCTTAAAGCTTTAGATCTTCATTGCTCAGTTACCTCCTGAAAGATATGTTTAACTGCAGGACAGATCTACAATTAAAGCATTTATTCTTACCCTTCTCCTGAAGACAGGGAAGAAAATTTTTATTTGAAAATTTTTGTGTATTGAGTCTTGGGAGAATCTCAAAACACAGTGACATTTTTATTCTTTTTAACCTATCATTTAGCCTGATAGGTTACCTTGTAGGTTTTTCAGTTTTGTTTTCTGTTACTTAATACCACAGTATTTTATAAAGCAAGAAGTATATATGAATGACTTGAGATTAACAAACAGTGTGTATTGGGCATCTGTTGCTAAACATTTTAATGTCTGACTTACTACCAAGAAGCCAGAGTAGAAAAAATATGGGAGATGTGGATATTTTCAGGGGAGATGTGGTGTGCTTCAGTCTGTAGAAAGCAGGACAGATGAAGAGAGATAAAGCAGCATATGAAGAAAGTTGTAATTAGTGAAATTGAAGGACAATTACTTTACTATCGACTTGCACTGACAAATTAGTCCTTTGTGGAAAATAAAATAATCCTGAGTTTAAGATGCTGATAAAAAATAATCCTGAGCTGATAAATATTCTTGACAACTCACAGAGGAAGAGGAAGAACACACAAAAGCAATGCTAACAAAACAGGGGTTTATAGCAGTGGTGTGTGACAGACTCATCTGTGTCATACCTCTGCTTAACCTATGAGCTCTTTTCTTGGCTCCACATGTCAAGGTTGGGGGGATCACCTTGCTGACTCTTCTGCGTGCTGAGCTACATCACAGCCTGGGAATGCAGCTGTGCTCAGAGCAGAGCCTTGGAGAGGGGCTGGCCTACCCCTGCTCTGTCGGGAGTGGGACGAAAGGGCTGCCGAGGGCCTAGCACGTGCCCAGGGCTGGGCTGTTCTTCACTGCAGCTCTAGGGCAGCCTAATCACATTCATGTGGGTGGTAAGGTTTCTTTTGCTTTCTCTCTTCTTTATTTTGGCTTCTGAAGCTTAAAACAGCAGTGCTATTCTCTTAGATTGGGATGACTGCTTCCTGTGCAGATTAATTGGCTGGATTGCCTCCAGGTTGTTTGTTGTCATGACAATCTGCTTTTGGAACTGACTGTCAGGCTCAAGAGAAGAAAAGAGCTGTATTTCATGAAGCTGTTACTTTTGTCTTCATATTTGGTCCTTCTGGAAATGTTAGACTAGTAAGAGGGTAAGCAAAGTAATTCTTTCTGATTATATGTGTGAAGGAGACCCAAACAAGGAAGAAGAAACTCTCTCCATTAGGACAAGAACAGCCATGGTTGTGGGCTAATTTAAAAAAGCAATGGTCAAAGTATGGGGTTGGGAATGAGGAGTTCTCACAGTGAAATGCTGGTTGTGGGGAACCTGTGTAATTGGCTTTTCCCTTTGGCAGCTCAGAGCCTCCCTGAATTGCTGTTTCAGTCTGTAAGTGGACAATGTGTGGGTACCTGTCTTTCAAAGCCAGGATTAAAACAGTGTGATGTGTTCATCTGCTTCCCATCTGAATATAACTGACGATTCCCTCTGGAGCTTGCAGCTATGGTAATGTCTGTCCTGGGTTGCAAACACAGCAACTACTTTGTGTTAATTGGGAATTAGATGCTACTGTGGACAGTCTTTAATTTCTCACAATTCTTTCTACAGCAGATCTAATTACTGTAATTACAATGTGTTCGTGTTCACACAGTACCCAAGTATCCTGGTCATTAACTAGAACTCAAGTGCTGTGGATGCTTAGGGACAGAGCAAGGCAAATCTGTAGGGTGTTATAAAATGAAGATAGAGGGGTTTCTTCCCACTCTCTGTGTTATGTCAAATGTGGTAGCTTTAGTTCAGTGTAATTGAGTGTAATCTGACATATGAGATTGTCCTTGTGTGCTGTTTTTCTATCTGTAAATGTGTTGATTTAGAAGTCACTAAGCTTCTGAACCACTGCATGATAGTGTCATCACCATTTACCAGATGGGAAAGAGAGGGCATAGATCAGCTAAAGGAAATGCTCCCAGAGTGCCATCCTGGCTGGTAGGAATAGAGCTTCAGCTGTGCTTGTCTGCTTCAGGGGCATGCCATTAGACTTAATCAATGTTTGCAAACTGTTTTGAGATACTATGACAACATGGGAATTAGAAGCGTGAATTATTAATTGCTACTTTGCTCTCCTTCTGCTCTTGGGTATACTGACAAGCTTTTTAAATTATCACCTCTTCCTGCTCTTCCATGAACTTCAAAGGCCTCCTTTATCCTGCTGTCATTACTACAGAGCTCCAGTAGTGTATCAGTTTGGTTTGTGTCAGATACTCCTCCATGCATAAGGATCCTTTCAGTCAAGAAGGGTCACTCTGCAGAAGAGGAAAACGGGAATGTGGCCTCCTACTGAAAAAGTACTGACCCAGCTTTCACATGGAACACTTCAAAATGTGCCATCCTCGATGAATAACAGCTTTGCTAGCATGCTGCAATTTGAGATGAACCTGAAGACATGCATTTATAAAGATTAATTTTAGTCACAAATAAGAGCAGATTCATTTGACAGGAGGGAGGGCCCCATGATTTAGTTGTGAAAATGAGAAGATCATCAAATTTTGGAGGATGTTCCTGTCCTCCTTTCTCCTTACCACTTGTAACTGAGTGTTGTGTATTTTACAAAGGTCTGTGTGTCATGAGGAAAGTGTCAGATTAAAAAGTGCCAATTTAGCAACAAGTCAAAGAATTATTCACTAATTCCTCACAGAAGTTATCTGTAGCTCTTGTCACTGTCATGATGAACTTCAGACCAATTCTTTTAATCCCACTCCAGCTATACTTTGGTCATCTCAGTTTTCCAGCAGTGAAGTAGCATGGCACAATATTTCCCTTAATCCGGAATGCGATATATTCATCAAAGTATGTGCTTGAGTTTTGGGATTGGATGGAAGTCATAATTGCTTGGATTATCCATACCAATCAAATACATGAATTACTTAAGAACTGTTCTTTCTAGGGCTTTACTCCAAGTTTAACAAAACCAGCAGTGATTAGAAATTTCTGCTCCTGTTCTGTGTTTTTTGATCTCAATTCAGAGGAAAATTTCTCTCCCCCATACACTTTTCTCCTATGCTTCTATTTAGCTGACAGAGTTAATCTTAATCATTCATAGCATCTACTCTGGGTGTACTCCTCAGGCCTGTCTGTTGCTGGGGGGATTTCCTGTTCTGTGACAGGCATCCACTCAATCTGGAAGGAATTACTCCTTTTCAGTATCTTCCAACAACCATATAAATTTGTTCAGCTCAAGGACTGTGTTTAATTTATTCTCTTAATTAGTTTGGATGGTTTTTAATCTAAATGTGTCTTCACAGTTCTTCTTTTCCTCCATTTTGTAGTTTTAGTTTAGAAGACTTCAATGCTAACAAAAGCATACTGGGTAGTTTAATTCAAACCCGTTTTTCTTTCACAGCCCTTCTTTTTTCTCCATCTAAGTTGCTAAATACCTTTAGTAGCTTTAACCCCGTTGCCTAGGAAAGAGAGTTTTATTGCTGCTAGTCTGTATTCACTCTGTCTGCTACTGTAAAGAGAGGCTCTTGACTTAAGTTATATTCCTGAAATTCTAGCTCTGCAGTTGTTTGCAAACAGTACTGTTGTGGTCACCTTATAAACCAAATGTTTTGCAAGTGTTCAGAAGTTAATTCTTGTTCTGTCTATTTGGTAATGTCCACTGCTGTCCATGTGGATACCTCCTCCTTTTATTTTTTGTATATCTTTTCATTGAATTTGCATTATGATTTTTATATACCCCAGTATTCTAAAACAGAAGCATACATAGTTTTAGAAGTCTCTGTTCTTTTCTCTGGGGCATTTATGAATTGCTTATATAAAACTTGTCAGCGTAGTATATAGTAAAAAATCTGACCTGTGTCGAATAAGAGGAAAATCATTCAAAATGATGACTTCCTAAAATGAATCTTTAAGTGATAATATGAATTCTGTGATGATAATTTCTGTGGATTAAGTTATAGGCAAAGCTGAAAGTAGGCTGGCTGTAGAAGTAAGCACCAAGGCCGTTGCTACTGTTTGCATGATTGAGTCGCAATGCAAAGTGGGTTTTAGAACTGACAGCTAAGTGGAACGCACGTACTCTAAATTTCAATGAAATACAACAAAACCTAGTTTATGAAGCACAAATAGCTCCCAGAACATCCTGCTCTGTGTGGAGCTTGTAACCAGCTCTTTGCACATGATAAATTGAAATTCTGAAATTCCCAAATGCTGTGGTATCACTTAGACATCCCAAGGCTTTGTAGTCTGATCCTGTCTGTATACAGAGTTTTATTGAGTCTCTCTGACTCATTATTGTCTCAGTTTGTAAACTGAAGCTCAAGTTGCAATTATTATGCATAATCTTAGCCCAGATTCAGCCTGCAGCAGGAATTTAATACTCAGAGGCAGACTGAATAAAAGCAGAAACATAAAGAAGGACACAAATAAAATGTCACTGAATTTTTTATTAAATGAAGGCTTTGCCTGACCATATTTAGCTCTCTGATATCCTTCTTTTGTAATACTTACTAATGGAAATGGTTTTGTTAGCTGTGAATTTTTTCTTTCCTGTGTTTCTTCATTCCCTGA